TCCTCCATTGCTGTTTTCTCTTCCTTCTGCTTCTTTTTATGCTCCAACATTGATGTATCCGAGTCCTTGACCGAGAAGAACATAGGCCCTAACTCAGCCAGCCAATGTGGCTCAACTGATGTAGCACACTGCATGTACTCCTTAGTGGTCAAGATTAGTTCATGGTACACCACATAATCCGGTGTGTATCCCAGACCGTACAAGGCACTACTCGGATGCAAATGGCAAGGCATCCCGCTTCTACAGTTCACATACTCGCCAACACCTTTTAATCTAGCTGAGTTATGGAAATACGCAGAACATATGGCTTTTCTCACAATATCCCAATCCGGTCCACACGACTTGAGTGGTATCTTCAATTGCTTGAGGATATCCAAAAGCTGAGATCTTACTTCTCTCGCTTTTCTCAAACCTTTTACTTGCAAGTAATGGTCATTACACCAGTCTCCCCTGTAGTCATGCTCTTTCCACTGCTGGTATACATTTAACAGAGTTAGATGATCAGATTCCGGCACAAAAAACTTCTCCCTTGCAGCATCGCTCTCCTCTGCTCTCTCTTTAGGTCTGAAGAACACTGAAGGTACTGAAAGCATTGACACGATCGTCAAGACCTCGTTTATGCAATCAAGCCGTTCACCCATTAAAAGCATCTTTGCAAGAGGCGGATCCAACGGGAACTCCACCATTTTCCACCCGAGATCGGTTAATCCTCCAACATTGCTAAGAGCACCCAAAACCCAAAGCTGGTACATAGAGTTGAGGATGTTCTCTTGTGGAGGTGGGTCCATAAAGTCAAAATCTAGCAAGTTGTCTATTTTCAATGACTTCAACAACAACACAACATTACCCAGATTCGTTCGCTGAATCTCAGGCACAGGACTTGGCAACATCTCATTCAAATAAGCACTCTCAGTATAAAGCCTGTAACATGTTCCTGGTCCTGTCCTTCCAGCTCTTCCTGCACGCTGATCAGAGGCGGCACGGCTTATGGGGAAAACCTGAAGAGCATCCATACCCATTCTGGGATTGAAAACCTTCATCTTTCCATACCCTGTGTCAATCACATAGTATATTCCGTCGACTGTCAATGACGTTTCAGCAATATTGGTGGCAACAATGCATTTACGCGCTCCATCTTCTGGTTTCTGGAATATTTTTGCTTGCAAGTCAGCGGGTAACTGAGAGTATATTGGAAGAATCAGCAGGTTTGTGATTTCTCTGGTGGAGGATGCAACGAGCTGTTCCATTCTCTCCTTAAGTGAAAAGCACGCTGCTTCAATCTCATCTTGCCCAGTCATGAATATGAGAATGTCCCCAGGTGGGCTTGTTATATGAATCGTCATTGCCTGTTTAACAGCAGCTTCAACATAGTCTTCACAAGGGGATTTAGAGTACATAATATTGACAGGGAAAGTCCTTCCAGGAATGTTGAATATAGGAACACTGCATTACCAAAGCAAAAACACTGTCGTAAAAGAATTAAATCATTAGCTTCAAAACTGGTTTACATGAAGGATGATAACCTTACCTCCCAAAGAAATTGGAAAACTTTTGAGCATTAAGGGTTGCTGACGTGACTATCAGCTTGAAATCACGACGCCGAGCCACAACTTTTTTCAGTATTCCAAAGAGGACGTCCGTGTTGAGTGACCTTTCATGAGCTTCATCCATCACTACCACACTATACAGAGTCCACAAAAGGAGTAGGTTAGCACGTCATTCTACATTTACCAGTTTAAAGCATGATCTATCAGAGGTAAGGTTGATGCATACATACCGATACTTGTCCAAGTCGGAATCTTTGAGGGTCTCTCTCAGTAGGACTCCATCGGTCATGTACTGTAATTTAAGAGAGAAATATGGAGTTTTAGAAGAAATTGTGTGTTTAATTAAGTGCAGATGCTAAAAGCATGATAAATGCCAACTAAACCAGAAATAACAGTTTTTGGACCACCTTACCTTGATAACAGTGTTTGGACCGGTTACATCTTCAAAACGAATCGCATACCCCACTTTCTCGCCCAACTCTGTTTCCATCTCTTCACTAACCCTCTTTGCAACACTCATGGCTGCTACACGCCTTGGTTGGGTGCAACCTACTATGCCATTTATAGTGTACCCATCCTCGTGAAGATACTAACCAAAGGAAACAAACGACAAGTTCAGTTTTTTTCATGTTTCATAATTATGTATTAGAACATGAATTCTCTGATAAGCCATAGTAAGCTCACCTGTGTAAGTTGAGTGGTTTTTCCCGAACCAGTTTCGCCGACCACCACTATCACCTGGTTTTCTCTTATTACCTAGAGAATGCATTTAAAAGCAGGTGAGTTGATGATTTTTCATTGGACAAAAATGAAATTTAAAAAAATAGGAACCCCTTTGAGTTTATTTTCCAAAATCCAGCAATATTAAGACCCAAATATCAAGACCCTCAAAAGAAAAGACCACCAACCTGCAACAGTTCATCTCTAACAGAAAATATGGGAAGATATTGTCGTTGCTCTGCCATGGTCTTTGACATCGCAAATTCACTCACAGCTTCTCCCTTCTTCATATGTTTGCCAAACTTAGCGTCATCTTTAAAGTCTATTTCACCTTCATCACCAACTACAGCAGTATCGGCATCAATCTGAAAGATGATCACAAAGTCAGAATATGTCCAACATCCACAATACCAATAAGTGAAAAGAACTAAAAACATTGAGGTGCATCACCTGCTCAGCTGATTTTTCCACACCAAGGATATTACCAAGATTAGAACCTGCAAGCTCCCAAAATCGTTGCCGTGATTTATGCATACTTTGTTTCTCCCGAATCTCTCTGACAAGACCTGATCCTTTTCGTGAAATTATAGCCATGTCAGATGTGGGATCCTTCAAAGGCATTACCGGCTCTGCTTGCTTTGTGAATACAACTCTTCCATCAAGGAAAGGAGGCTTCGTATCTGCAATTACCCAAAGA